TCCCAGCATTGGTGTCAGTGATCATAATAATAACCCCCAGCATTGGTGTCAGTGATCATAATAAAACCCCCAGCATTGGTGTCAGTGATCATAATAATAACCCCCAGCATTGGTGTCAGTGATCCCAATAATAACTCACATCATAGTTGTCATATTAATCCTCCACATTGGTATCAGTGACTGCAATAATAACCCCCAGCATTGGTGTCAGTGATCATAATAATAACTCCCAGCATTAGTGACAGTGATCCCAATAATAACCGCAGCATTGCTCTCAATGATCCTAATAATAACTCCAACATTGGTGTTAGTGATCACAATAATAACTCCCATCATAGTTTTCATATTAAACCCCCCACATAGATGGTCACTTGTGTTGAAAGTTAACACCCCATCACATTGGTGGACATGGCAGTGAAAGATACCCCCCACATCTCATCCCCCCCCCATATTGGTGATCATGGCAGTTAATGTTAAACACACACGCACACACTGATGGTCATGGCAGTGAAAGTTATACACCCCCTCCCCCCCCCCCCCCAATCATTGGTGATAACTTCTCCTCTTAGGCTGTCTCCCTCTCCCCTGGCTGGGACTTTAGTTACACTTCACAGTACAGCCTCTCTTCCTGTGCCAGGTGCTGGTACACCCAGCGGGTTCCGGGTTCCGACACCCCATTATCTAAATGGTGCCCAATAGCCTGCAGGTCACAAGCAGAGGGGCACATGTTGGGCACCAGGGTGTTAGAACCTTGAAAATAAAATCAAGAGACCCTTTCACCAGAGCATTCATTTCAACTCCTCCTAAAGGGTCTGGAAGATTGGCAATGACTTCAGACACCCAGATCATACAGGAATGATGCAGTTCAGGCTGTCTGAGGATCCATGAGCCAGTTCTACCCAAGCCAAAAACATACTGAAAGCTTGAGCAGCTTCTACCCAGATCAGTCCATTGCATTGGTATTAGAGTGTAAGCTCTTCTGACTCAGGGGCAGTCAGATCCAGGTTTCGCGTGAAGGAAACAATGGTAGAACGTGCTGCATTATGCTCATGATGGGATCCATAGTGAATACAGCCAGAAAAAAACAGGTCATCTCAATACATACTGCTCTCTCTGCTTCTGCTCTCTCTATTTCTCTCAAAATGTCTGAAATAGTTAATTTTTTACTATTTTTCAGTGCATTCTAGGCATTTGGGAAGGTCTCCTGCGGTTATCTATTAAAAATTATTCTAAACGCAAACGTGCATAACGTATGCAATCATGGCTAAACTGTTTTTTAACTACGTTTTCCAGCAGTCAGTTTCCATCATTCAGATGAGTTTTCCAAACGCCCCGTGTACATGAGCCCTTAGAGCTTACAATCTAAGAGGGAGTGTCAAGAGATACAAAAGGTAATAACTGTAGGGGATGAACTGAGGGCCAAAATACATTTTACAGTTGTTAGGTGGGGGCAGGATAGGCCTCTCTGAAGAGATGAGCTTTCAGGGATCGGCTAAAAGTGGACAGAGATGGAGACAGTCCGACACAATGGGGAAGGGAGTTCCAGAGGATGGGAGCGGTTTTAGAGAAGTCCTGGAGGCGAGCATGGGAGAAGGTGACAAGGGAGCTAACGAGCAGAAGGTCTTGGGAGGAACGAAGGGAATGAAATGAGCAAATTTATTGCCTCATCCTATATATAAAATGGTCTAGTAAAAACAAAGATCTATGTGTGTATGGTACTTGTGAGCCACAAAAAAACGTGAACAATATACTATTTTAATAATGTTCTTCGTTGACATTAATCATATCCTCATTAGTATGTGTTATTTATACCATGTCTAAAAAGTTGAAAATGCTGCGCTCCAAAATATATGTAATAAATTCAAATACAATCTCCTACTAAGTAATTTAACTATATATATATATTCAGCTGTGCCAAATAAAATTAATAAAAATTAAAATGTGGTTTATAAATTAATAAACTTAATCTGCTGTGCCTTAATAAATAATTGCTAAAATACAAATGCACTATATATGTGATTATTTCATAAATTGGTGACAGTCCTAAAAATAATTAGTGTATTCCAAACAAAGTTGCAATCTGTGCTCCAATTTATGACATTCATATGTGCTCACCTCCATGGAAGCCTAATAATAGGCAAACATAACTTTGTGTCCAAATAGGTTGTGATCTGTTGTATTTTGTTGCTATATACTTCATGGTCTGGTGGACGTTGGATATCCCCTAGGATCTCCTGGGTGGGTCACTGCTTATTTGCTGGTGTAGCTGTCAGGATCACTCCCTCCTTGCTCTGCAGGATTTCCCTTTTTTCTCCATCCCTCCGCTTTTCTCCTCAATTGTCTCCCGTTTTAGCAGTAAAAACAGAAAAGGAATATAGTGCCTTATCCTTTTAAAATTATTTTATTAAGTGCCCAATACTATGATGCACTCACATTGTATTAAAACATAACACGCTTTGTATAAAATATGAGAGCCTCCTCTGTGTGTCTACAGCACACAGCCTATACTCACCGTCTTCCGCTGGGTACGTGGTGACGTCAGAGCCCCTCCCTTACGCGTTGCGCCACAGGATCACGTGGCTTTGTCAGGGGGATGTTATGTTTTATTACAGTGTGAGTGCATCATAGTATTGGGCACTTAATAAAATAATTTTAAAAGGATAAGGCACTATATTCCTTTTCTGTTTGAGGAGAAAAGCAGAGGGACGGAGAAAAAAGGGAAATCCTGAAAAACAAAGATCATTTGGGACAAATAATAACAAATGAACAGCTAAAAGCCTAGTTTATGGCTACATTAAAGTTAATGTGTGGTAAGTGCCTGTGGTCACTGCTGGACTCCATTAGCTTGGTAGTGGTGGCACATATTAGCTGTCAGTGACTGCATGCATTGGACTGTTTATTGTACTTGTCTGGATACAGAAGTGCTAATGGCCACTCACACTGCTGGGGGGCTAATTAATGTGGTCAGTGCTCAGGGGCTGGTTTTGGTCACAGATGGAAGAGGAAATTTTCTGCTGCCACTCGTCTATGAAATGCTATAGAGACCCCTAGTGATTAGATGTGCTGCCCATTAATGCACCTATTGAATTAAGATGCATTATTGACACGTTTTGCATGCATTTTTGAAGCATCACAGTGCATTAACTGTGGGGGATTAACTAATGCTTCCTCTGGTTTTTTTGTGTTGTACGGACCTTTTCACTATCATCTCAGCTAGTAACGCTTTCTTAACGCATTTTCAAACGTGTTTTAAATGCCATAGTGTTTTTGGTGTGTTTGCAGTGCGTTTAAATGGGTATAAATGGAAGCATTTGGAAAGTGGTAAAGCCAGCTGAGAGTTACATGTTGGGTCAATTTTGGCTCCACAAAACGCATACATGACCATATGACCAACACTGTCCACTGCAATGCACATAATCATTGGCAGACTGACAACTCATGGGGCCCCCGGGCAATAGGGGATTATGGGGCCCCTGTGTCCTTGTCCAAACTCAAAAAAGCCTATGAAAAAGGTACCAGGGGCATCTCATGGGGCCCCCTACTGACCCCGGGCCCTCAGGCAGTGACCGAGTTTCCAAATGGTCAGTCCGCCCCTGCCCATGATTGACATAGAGCATTCATTAGGCTTCAAAAACAAAGATGAAACACCTGCTTTTGACATTAGTGTAAACTTAGCCTAACACTAGGTTCACAACTGTTCGTGTGCTTTTCATGCGTTTTTTTGGTGCCTTCTTGATTCTCATGCATCATCATTTCATGCTTCCTGTGTTTTTTTTTTTTTTGTAGGAGGAAACTGGTTGTTAAACACAAAACCCTGCCAAAACCGCACCAAGAACGCATGTACATGCATTTTTTTTATGTATTTTTGATGCAGTTCTGGCCTGTGGACCCAAAAAACGCAATTTTGCTCATGAAAAAAGTTCCTGCACCTCTTCCAAAAACTGCAGAAAACTGCATAGATATGAATGAGATCCATAGGAAATCATGGTAAATCATTTGTCGTGCATTCCTGCTCTTCTGCTAATGTGCTGAAAAATACGCAGGCGTGATTATTATTATTATACAGGATTTATATATCACCAACAGTTTGCTCAGCACTTTACAAAATGAAAGTAGACATTACAGTTACAATATAATTTGGTACAAGAGGAAACAGAGGGCCCTGCTCGGGGCAGAGTTTACAATCTAGGAGGAAGGGTTGAGTGATACAAAAGGTATTAGCTGTGTTTTTTTTTTTTTTTTTTGTGTGTTTATTTTGTTTTTTTTCCTCTTCTCTTTCTTTCTCTACAAAATATTTATAGTCTAAGTATGAACTGTAATTAGTATTTATATATATATATATATATATATATATATATATATATGTATTATGTTTGGAAATGTTTAGAAGCTAATGCAGTAGATCTATTCTGTGAGATATATAAACATGGGATAGAAAAGTGGGTATAGCTATACTATTTTGATGTTTTTCAGAATGCAATTGTGAAACTTAAACGAGAATCTTGTTTACAATTGCCTGTTGGACTTTGGAAAATAATAATAAAGATTAATTAAAAAAAAAGCTGTGGGGGATGAGCTGATGGAAGAAATAAAAGGCAGTTTACTAGTTAGATGCAGGATAGGCTTCGTTAAAGAGCAAGGTTTCCAGGGGTCGTCTAATGGTGGATAGATTAGGAGATATCTGGACAGATCACAGTAGGGAGTTCCAGAGGATGGGAGAAGCTTGGGAGAAGTTCTGGAGGAGGTAACACGGGAACTAGAGAGTAGAAGGTCTTGGGAGGATGGAAGAGAGCGGTTTGGTTGATATTTTGAGACCCGGTTGTTGATGTAGCTGGGGGCAGAGTTGTGGATGGCTTTGTAAGTTGTTGTTAGTATTTTGAATTTTATTCGTTGGGTGAGTGGAAGCCAGTGGAGGGATTGGAAGAGAGAGGTGAAGGACACTGGATGGAGGCCAGTGGAGGGATTGGAAGAGAGAGGTGAAGGACACTGGATGGAGGCCAGTGGAGGGATTGGAAGAGAGAGGTGAAGGACACTGGATGGAGGCCAGTGGAGGGATTGGCAGAGAGGGGTGGAGGACACTGGATGGAGACCAGTGGAGGGATTGGCAGAGAGGGGTGGAGGACACTGGATGGAGGCCAGTGGAGGGATTGGCAGAGAGAGATAGCAGACACTGAACGGTTGGTAAGGTGGATGAGCCTGGCAGCAGCATTCATGATGGACTGGAGGGGGGAAGGTCTATGTAAAGGTAAGCCAATGAGGAGGGAGTTGCAGTATCCGAGGAGAGAAATAACCAGGGAGTGAATTAGCTTTGTGGTATCATTGGTTAAAAATGGGTGTATTCTGGAGATGTTGTGGAGGTTGAGGCGGCATGATTTGGAAGAAGAAGATGGAGAATAGGAGAGGTCCAAGGACAGAACCTTTGGGGACCCCGACAGTAAGAGGAGTAGGAGAGGAGGAAGTAGAGTTGTAAGTGACACTGAAGGTGCAATGTAATAGGTAAGATTCCAACCAATGGAGAGTACAGTCATGGAGACCAAGTAAGTATAGTCTAAGGCAGTAGTCTCCAAACTGCAGCTCGAGGGCCAGATGTGGCCCTTTGCTTGCTTTCATCTGGCCCTTGGGGCACTATTTCATCCACTAACGCCAACAAAGGGATACAATTCCTACCAATGACACCAATGATGGGGCGCAGTTCATCCCAATGATACTAACAATGGGGCCCAATGACACCAATGTTGGGGCACAATTCCTCCCAATAACACCATCGATGGGGCACAATTCCTCTCACTGACACCACCTGAGCCCCATTGTGATCTAGCGATGCGAATGACAGCCTCGGCTGTCCCGGGTCTCTGCCTTCTGATTGGCTGAGACAGCAATGGGCAGGGGCGGACTGACCATTCTGGTACTCGGGCACTGCCGAGGGCCCCGGGGTCAGTAGGGGGCCCCATGAGATGCCCCTGGTACATTTCATAGGCTTTTTTGAGTGTGGGTGAGGACACAGGGGCCCCATGATCACCTATTGCCCGGGGGCCCCATGAGTTGTCAGTCCACCCCTGGCAATGGAGCATTGTTTACTCCCACTGATGCCAGAACATTTTCTACTCCCGATGTCCATGGTCCAGCCCTGCTAAAGACTGAAGGACAGTAAGTTGGCCCTTTGTTTATAAAGTTTGGAGACCCCTGGTCTAAGGGATCATTCACACCAACCGCTTCCACAACCACTGGGGGTGTACACATGCTGTAGCCCCTGACCCTTTGGGGGTGCAATAACACCCAGTAAACGCATCCAATTCAAGTGAATGGGACCACTCTGCAATCATGTGCAATGCATGCGATTGCTGCATGGTAGTACGGCACTTAGAGGTTTAAATCAGGCAGTGAGGCAATAACATATCTCCTGTGCTTCTCAAACGCTTAGCTTTTAGAGCACATTCACATGTGCAACATAGACTGCCACTCCTCTGAAAAGCGATACACACTCAGATCACTTTTCAGATACCAGAACCTCTGAAATTTGGAATTTCTGAACTTGAAATCCCTGGCTACAAAAATGGTGTATTCTGGAGCAGCAAATGTTGCAAAATGATGTAGAATGTTTCGGGAAGCTCTTGGCAGCCCTGGCTGACAAGGTAATGGGCGTGAAAAACAGTCTGAGCCACTTCCTTCAAAAATTCTACCAGGGTTGTGATGATAGAAAGGTGGGATCTTGTGGCCCTGGCTCTGAAGCTAAGGCTTGCCATACATGGTACAATCTGATCCTTCAACTTCTGTACAGTCACTTTTAAATCTACCAAAACTGTATAATATGGACTTACCTATAATATCCAATCCATTTGTATCCAATCAGGCAGGCCTTTGTACTACATACTTGCTGGGAGATCTAAGGCTTCATTCACATCTGTGCATTGAGGTTTTCAGCATTTTTAGTGTGATTTTTCGTGCATATTTTACCACAATTTTACTGCATTTTTTATACAGCATTTTTAGCCATTTTTGAGCTTTGGTGTTTTTTTATTAGCCAATAGAACAAAATATCATCTATTGCATCATTTGTTACTAGGTTTTTCTGTTTTTTTTCGTTTTTTTTTTTTCGTTTTTCCATCAGCTGTTAGTTTTTATTATTATTATTATTGTTATTTTGTTTTTTGTTAGGGTTCGGGGTTAGAGTTAAGGTTAGGTTAGGGTTAGGATTAAGGGTTAGGGTTTGGGTTAGTATTTTATTTCTTATTATTTATTTATTTATTTTATTTATTTATTCTGTTCTTTTTTTCTCTTTCTATTTATTTATTTGTTAGGGTTAGGGTGATAATAATAATAATAATAATAATAAAGATAGTCGAATAAATAAATGTAAATTAAATACACAAATACTTTGAAATAGTCATACATAAATACTTTTAATAGTAAATTAATAATAATTAACCCATAACCTTAACCCCCTAAAACCTAAAAAAGTAATAAAATAATAAGTTATTTTTATTATTACAATTATTGTATTTTTTGTTCGAGTGTTTATTATTATTATTATTATTATAATAATAATAGTAATAATTTATTTCTTTTTTTAGGTTAGGGGTTAATTATTATTTATTTATGATTTATTTATCCTTATTTTTTTATTTAAATGTTTATTTATTTTATTTATTTTACATTTAACTATTCATATATTTTATTTTTTTGTACATTTTTTCATTTGAGCAGAAAATCATGCAAAACATACGTTAAAAACGCATGCAAAAACGAGCCAATTGCGCGTTTCTAATCTTTTCTATGGGAATAAAAACGCGCCAAAAAGGTGCAAATCTGCCTTATGTGAGCTACAAAAGTAGCTCCAAAACTTTTTTGAGCTTCAGGCGATCTGCTTCAAGTGACTTGGAGTGGAGATGTGACCCATCTCCATAGAGTAATATTGTTTTTTTCCCCCTGAGCGTTTTGGAGCTAAAATGCTCAGGTGTGAATGGGGCCTGAAAGAGATTGTACAATCAGATTGCAATGTGTTCAGCTTTAGAGAGCTCTGGCTGCATTAGAAGCAGATATGAGAAAGAAACAGCATTTGGTCCCCTTTTCCCAGAAGCCTTTTTGAAATCCAAATTACCAAAAAAAACAAACAAAAAAAAATACTGGTATTTGATGACTTGGCCATTCTTTAAAAATTGGTCCTAACTGGACATTATTGAAATTCAGGATCAATTCAAAAAAATATACAATCCATGTTTGTATTATAGGATGTTTTACTAGTCTGTTAATAATTAAAGACTACGTGGTGTGGTATATAGGGGATTAAAACTAGTGGTAAGGAGGTGGCATAGCGCCTCCTTGCAGCCTGTTAAATACCTCTGAAAAGTGATCAGAGCATGGATTGCTTTTCAGAGGTGTGGCAGTCCTTGCTGCTGGGTGTGAATGAGCCCTTAGCAAGATTTCCTGATCCAAATCCCGACCTTTACAAAGCCAAATTACCCCAAATATGGGGCCTTATAACACTGGCCTGACTGATGGCTATCATCTCATATTGCTTCTTGGCATCTCATGAAAAAGAAAATAATTCCATTGCTGAGCACAGAAAAGTTCCAGCATGATGATGATTTGTGCCAATGTTTATAGTTTGTTATACAATTATTAGTGAATCACTCTTGTAAAGTCATCAGAGAACCTGTAGGCACCGCGCTGTCAGCACTGACTGCAAACTCCCATCTTTGTGTACAGAGTGTGGATTGACTAATTAGTCTCTAATGGGAGAGGAACAAAAGAGTGATACTCCAAATCTATTCTACTTCACCACAAAGGGGCTTAACAAGGACTTTGTTTCAAGAGAGATAGGAGAATTGTGTGAGAGGGGAAGGGGAGGTGGGGAGAGACAAAGGGAGAGAGGGGGAGAGGGGGAGAGAGGGGGGGTGGAGAGGGAGAAAGGGGGAGGGAGGGAGAGGGGGGGGGCGGAGAGAGAGAGGCGGGGTGGGGGTGGGAGGGACAGAGGGGGGAGGGGGGGGAGAGGGGGGAGGGAGGGGGGAATGGAGAGGGAGAGAGAGAGAGAGGGGGGGGGGGGAGAGAAAGAGATGGGGGAGAGAGAGAGGGGGGGAAAGGGGGGAAGGGCGAGAGAGTGAGAGGGGGGGGGGGAGAAGGTAGAGAGAGTGAGAAATAGAAGAGGAGAGAGAGAGAGAAATAAAGGAAAGAGAGATAAAAGAGGGGAGAGCAATAAAGAAAAGAAGGAAAGAGACGGGAAAGAGAGAAATAATGAGAGAAGAGAGAAAGGAAAGAAAGAGAGGGAAAGAGAGAGAAAGGGGAGGGAAAAGAAGAAAAGGGGGAGCAATAGAAAGGAGTGGGAGAGAGAAGAGAGAAAGATAGAAAGGAAAGAGAAAGGAGAGAGCCAAGGGAGAGGGAGATGAGAGAGCAAGAGGAGAGAGATGGGAGAGAGAACTATAGAGAGGAGAGGGAGGAGGGATTCAGAGAGGAGCGGGGATAAAGAGATCTGAGGGAGAGCAATTGTAGAGAAGGAGAGAACAAGGGAGCAACAGAAAGAAGAGGGAACAAGCAAATGATAGCAAAAGGGGAGAGTGAAAGAGAGAGAGAGAAAGAGAGGGAAAGAGAAATAGCAGAGACCAACAGAGAGGGGATAGAGAGAGCAATAGAGAGATAAGAGGAGAATGAGGGTGAGTTTGAAGAAGGAGAGAGGGAGAAAAGGAGGGAGGAAAGCAGGAAAAGAGAGAGAGTAGGAAGCTGGAGAAAAAGGTGGGAGAGAGGAAAAGGGATGGAGATAAAGGAAGGGAAATAATACAGAGAAAAAGAGGAGAGAAAAGGAACGTGAAGAGAGAAATATGATAAAAAATGAATAGAGAGAAATGAGAAGAGAAAAGTACAGGAAAGAAAAGGGAGAAATATAGAGAAGAGAGGGGGTAAGAGAAAGGAAAGAGAGAAAGCAGAGAGGCAGGTAGGAAAGTCAGAAAGGAAGACAGAAAGAAAGTGAGATAGAGGGAGAGAGAAAAAGATCTTTCATGGCAGGTCGAAACTCAGGAGGGTACTAATTGTATGAAAATTCTCGTACAACAAAGGCTTTTTTGTTGTTTATTGTTTCTGTTTATGCGCAGTCTTTCGTATCCAATTTTTCTCGGATGAAAAAAACAGTTCACGTTAAACAAAAATCGTTAGTTCTGTTCTCGTAGAAGAAACATTTTGGAGTTTGTTCATTCAGGAAAAATTGTGTACACACTATGCGAAAATCAAATGATTGTGCCTCGTACGGAATTCTTCTTCCAATTTTCTCATAGTGTCTACCCCACTTTACAGAGACTGAGAGAGGTGAGAGACAGAAGAATTGAATGAAGATAGGGAGGACAGAAAGGAGAGCAGAGAGGAGATGAGATAGGTTATAACTTAATAGGAAGCTGTTAATGTTGGGTGAGAGGACGTCTGTTTGCAT